CTTACTTATAGGGAAAGTTGTATATGGAAATTTCCTACAGAATCCATAGTAGAGGCACTATATATTCAGACTTTGGTTTACCAGTCAATAAGCATTTATTAAGTGTCTTCTATGTTCCAAACTCTTTCAAAAGTCTGTGTTCTCTGTTATAAACAAATTTCAATCTGAGGTCTTTCTGAGTTGCCACCTAGAAAACCTCAGTAGACTGGTTTGACTGGTTTAACGTACCAAGATGGAAGAATGCGATGCTTTTACTATTAGTAAATACTTAGAGGCAGGACACAGGGAACTGTACCATAGGTCACGGAAATAAACTACCCAAAGCATTCCCAACCTGGTATAGTCATCCCTTATACTGTTCCTATTGCCATGGTAGCTCCTAATTTATTTCATTTTGTTGTTATTTCTATGCAATGCTAAGTGATTATTGTGAGAAGCAGTGTGCATTTTGGAAGTAGCACTGTTCTTGTGGTTAGGCAAGACCTGGGTTTGAATTCCGCCTGGGACACTTACTGTGTGACCATAGGAAAATAAGTTACCTTACTTCTCCTAGCCTCAGTTTCTCACCTGCAAAATGAGGAGAATATTTACCATTCCCACCCTACTTCAGAGGGATAGTGGGCAAGTCAAATGAGATCAGGTGTGCAGAATGTTTCATAAACCTTAAAGCACTTTATTATCATAAAGCATTAGTTTTATGGTGGAGTATTACACAGTTTCTTGTGGTTATCTGTAATGAATGCAAACAGGAGGAGCTGTCTACTTCACTTGATGTCTGCAATAGATAAGATAGGTAGTAGTGGGGGTCTAGGACCCTAAAATGATTAATGTCTGTGGACTGCTATTCCTTCAAGTAAATTGGTGATTGGGTTAATGAATTTCTTAAGTTTAGAATTATATTAAGGTAATTTTTACTAAAGGGAGGAAAATCTATGCTCCACATTGAGATAATAGGTTGTTTTATGACATGCCCAATAGTTCTAGATAGAGACGTGCTGTTCTTTTCATTAAAAGTGCATACTTAAAGAGTTTTCTTGCTGTTTCTTCACAATTGGGTATGATTTTCTCTCCCACCCCCACCTAAATCCTTTAACCTTTTGCTGACAGGAAAATTTCCACCCCTCAGTGTTCTGCTGCCTAAAATAACCAGTTTTGCCCTGAAATGAAGTTTTTTAAATGGCAACAATCTTTGTGTCTTCTTTTCTTACTTCATAAATCACAGTAGTCCTAACCATTACCTCTTTCCTTCCTTCCCCTGTCTTTTTTCTCCCTTTCATTTTGTGGCAATCACAGGTGGATACTCAACATCACACCATAGGCACCAGATAAATAAGCTTGGAAGGTATCCTAGCAACATATTGTTCTGGAAACCTGCTCCGTTTCCCTGAGCAAGATCAAACCAAACAGCCCAGACTTCTGGCCAGATGGGAAAGGATTACCTTTTGAGGGTGTTCGGTGGATTTCATTAAATTTTCATTTTGAAATTTCAGCTCTTAGCATAAACAGAAAAATTAGTTGACTTTTTATATAAACTGAAATCACAAGAATTGTGATGGTGGTTGAACTTCCTGTGGTAGCTAATACAGTTAGACAGGAGAGCTTACTGCTCTATTTGGGAGGGTTATCTAAAAGACCTTACCCTCACTTAGCATCTTTAGGCATTTGCCCCTTAGTCCCAGTGATATTCAGGAGACTCTGTATTTCAGTTAATACATGTATAAGCAGGATCTCTATAGGGAACTGAGACTGCTGGTTCTAAACACAGTTGCAGAAAATAGTATTTTTTAAGAGCTTATGATGCTGTATCTAGTTCCCTTCTTTTTTGCCTGCTAGGCTCTCCAATTAGCAGGTGGTGCTTTCTTCTCTGTTTTCACTGCAGCTGGTCACAGCTGGGCTGTTAATGGCCTCATGAGGTAGAGAATCAAGGCTTAGTGTCTCATGACCAATGAGAAATCTTCAGCAATGGCTATGAAGTTTAGCAACCCCTTTGAAAACACAATTGCCAGCCATTTGTGCCCTCTATGACTTTTTTTTTTCCTCTGACTATATTGACAGAAATGTGATCAATTAATGATTTGTTGGCAGAATATGGTAAGAACTAGAAACTTGAGACAAGACAACATTATATGAACCATTGGCAGGAAAGTGTAGCTGAAAAGCAGAAGGTGTACAAAGGGTAGTTTGGAGGTAAATGTTACAGTTGTTACATGTGCCAAAGAGCTACAGTGGTTATATGTAAGCATTTTGGTCCTTCTCAATGTCTTTTCACTTTCCTACTGTGATTTAAGGTAGAATTAATCAGTGCCACAGGTCTTCTGACAATGTCACTGCCTTGTTCCAGTGACCATTGCTGTGGCATAAAAAAGAAGTTCCTTGGCTTTGCCTTTTTGGGACTTCAGAAAGTCTCTAAGCTACCTTCCTGGCCTTATTTCATTCTATTCCACTTCACACTTTCTTTCTTCCATCTATACTGGAGGTATTCCCTGATCTCGTGCATTCTCTGTCTGAATTTCCTGTAAGCTTTCTCTCTAGCTTGGGATGTGTTCCCTATTCATCTTTGCCTGTTGAAATCTTGTTCATTCTTCAAGGCACAGCTTAGGCTGCATTTTCTCCAAGAAGTTTTTCCGATCGCTTCCCCAGCTGAAAGTCGTCCCCTCATCCATTTTTCTTGAGCACTTTGTCTCTCCTTCCCCCTATTACATAAACCCATCATACTTTTATTCTCCCTCTCCCTGTCTTCCTTCTTTCCTTTCCCTTTCTTTTCCCCCTTCCCTCCCTCCTTCTTTCTCTCCTTTAACCGCCCCCCCCAACCCCCTCTATCAGATTGTTAGTTTTAAGTGCTAGAGTCATGTCATTTCCTGTCTTTCTAACCTCAGCCCTAACACAGTTCCACAGTTCCTTGCACTGAGCAGGAGTGGAATGTAGTGGAACTGTTGGAGGCTGTCACATTTAATCAAATAAGCTTGTGAAATTTCCTCACTGTGGTCAGAATCAGGCATTACAGGTCTCCCAAGATTCAAAAAGGATATCCCTTGGTGGAAAGGTCAAAAGTTGAGAAGAGGAAGGAAGATGAGGAACAACAGACACCCTCATTTTTATTTAACACGTTCTATACTCAGTTTCCATGGAGTTTAGAAACAAGCCAAAGGCTCCTCATTTAGTTGACAATGGGCCTAAACCCTAACAAGCAATAGACTCATTTTTCTGTTCATTCTGGCTTCTTGCCTTTCTCTGACACTAACAAGATAGTTTGACTAAAATTTTAAAACAGCAACAAATACTTTCACAACAGACATCCAGGGAAATATGTATTGATCAGCAACTATGTCTTCTTAGCTTTGTGTGCCAGGAACTGTGCAGGATGCTGAGAAGTTTATGAACCAGTCTTTACCCACAAGAAAGATGTCACAGATTTAGCAGAGCACCCAGTTGTCAAGTAATCCCTATCACTCCCCTTGCCCTTCTGTCTTTAACTTGAGTAGATAAAATGGGGGCATGTATGATTAGCTTGTATTAGAAAAAGATATAACAACAGGAAGATTTTATAGGGAATAGACTAAAATGCAGTGGAAATTTTTTCCTATTTGGGTCTCATATTAGAACAGATTTTTCTAACGTCTATAAGAATTATGAGAGAAAGAATGTCAGGGGAAGTAGGAGAATGTTTCTTTGAAGAGTTTTTCCGAAAAGAGGAAAACATGGAGTGGGGCATAGATTAGGTAAAGTTTACTCTGAACCAAAAGGGCCCTGATTCAGTACTGCTTTGATTTCTGGCGTTTCTTATTCTTTCAAACTTTTGGATCTGCTTTCTGGTATCAGAGAGGCTGAGTGACATAATAAAAGCAGAGACCAGGCCTCAGAACTGGGAGAATCTGGGTCTAAGTCTTCCCTTCTACATGGATCAGCCAAATGGCCTTGGGCAAGTGTTATAGGTGCCAACCTCCATTGGTAGAAGGAGTTTCCTAATTCAGAAGGGCCCATTCTATACCAATGCTCCTGGTGGCACAGAGTTAAGAAGACCTGAGTTCAAATTACTAGCTCTATGATGCTAGGCAAGTCACTTACTCTTTTTGCCTCAGTTCTCTCATCTGTAAAATGAGAGATAATAATAGCACCTACATCCTAGGGCTGTTGTGAGGATCAACTGAGATAATATTTGTAAAAGTGCTTAGCACCGAGCATGTACATACTAGGTGCTTAATAAACATTTATTGACTGATAGACTTTAGTCCTTTCATTTTACTCAGTGATGTGATATGGTCGAAAGAGGCAGAAGTTCAGAGAGCTGGGCCTGAAGTGAAGAAGACCTGAGTTCAAGTCTACCTCAGACCCTTATTAGCTGTGTTAACCCTGTGCAAGTCACTTAACTTCTGTTTCCCTCAGTTTCCTCAAATGTAAAATGGGGATAATAATAGCAGTTACTTCTCAGGGTTGTTGTAAGGATCGAATGATATAATATTTGTAAAAGGGCTTAGCACATTGCTTTGCACGCAAGGGTTATATAAATGCTTATTTCCTTCCCTTCCCCACAAATCTAGTCCTCTTATCCTTTCTCTTATATACTCTATTTGAGGGTAAAGGTTAAGAGGTTTGGTGGGAAAGCCAAGTATAATCCTAATATTCAGTTAAAGTAATTCTTCATGTTGCAGGTTTTGACCTAAAAAGAAATTTAATGTTAGAGCAGAGAAAATAAATTTTATTTTTCTTTGTATTCCTTGCCTAGACCCCTAAGTTACAATTACAGCATTAAGCATTTACAGATTAAGCATAAATAATTATGAAATCATTATAAACAAAATGGCTATTAACACTATTACATATATTGTTATTTTAAAAAAAATAGAAAGTTTTTCAGTACCAGCAGTGTTTCAGATTCTACACCAAACATGCTTCTGTGAGATGTGCCTAAAGGTTCTCTAAGTTTCTTGTCTGCCCTGGAGTATGTCATCAGATCTTTCCTGCGTGTTCTTCTTATAACGTACTTTCACTCCACTCTTCAGGTGCCTACTAAGAAGTTGAAGAAATATGAGAAAGAGTATCAAACCATGCGTGAGAGCCAGCTACAACAAGAAGACCCTATGGACAGATACAAGGTACGGGCAAGCATGGGAAAGTGCTTTCCAGGAAGGTGCCCAAGGTTCATCGTTGTACCCATGTAAAATGGTGGTGGTGGTGGTGGTGGTGGTCGTGGGGGTGGGGGTGGTAGGTCTGGGCTTCTCTTCTTTATGGAAGCTTTGCAGACTCTTCTTTGATAGGGATGTTTTCATTTTACCCCCCGTTTCCATGGGAACCCCAGAGGAGCCAAACATAATATATCTTTTCTTTCAGTTTGTATGTTTGTAGGTAACTCCCGCTGTTGCGTTTATACGGGGATCCCACATGAGACGCTGACAGAGAAAGGGGGAGAAAGAGAGAGAAAAAGTGGCTCCCAACTACTTACAGAATAAGAAAGGAGATTACAGATACTGTTTTTAGCTGTGCGCGGTTACGTTCCCAAAGACTTTTTAGAAGGTGAACTGTGTCAAGACTGACATAAGGATGTTTTTAAGTCCCCTCTGTCTGTAGCAAATGTTAACGATCAGCATTTGCCCTCCTGGGAGAAGAATAAAACCTCCAAGGTGTATGAAGCAGAGTAACGGTGTTTCTCACGACGTTTATTTCCACAAGTGGTAAATTACAGCTTTACTAGTGACATCTGCCCACACCCTGCAGGTTCAGGATCGAGCCAGCGGCTTTGGAGCATCATCACCTTAGTGATTTCCACGGGCCGTTTACAAATACACAGCCCTTAGGTGTTGACCTCACTGTTGGAGGAGTGCAGCTTTGCAAAGTTCCTTTTTTCAACGGAAACATCTTTGAGTTTATCAGACATTTTAACGGTACTTCAGTCTCCAAGCACGTTTTTTAGGCCGAGGTTGGCTTTGTAGCTTCTCCTGTTAGACAGTGTCCCCAAAGTCTGAGTGCAGACATTAAAACTTAAAACTGCACTCAGACTTTTGGCACGCCCTGTACGCATCCTTCCCAGCACTGAGGTGCCATCCCTCTGTGGGCCAGAACGTTGCGTTCCCATAATCTGTTACTTCCAAAGCATCCTTCTAACATGCATAACTTCCATTTCACCACAGTGGGGAGCCTTTTCTCTCTCTTACTAGGTTGGCCCTTATGCAGTTAAAGGAAGAGAGTGTCACGGGGGTTTCACCGTAGGTATCTCCCCTGTGTTACTGGATTTCTAGAGGCCTGAGGCAGCAATCTCTCATCATACTTGCCCACCTCCTTGCCTACCTCCATCAATGTTCTTGTTTTCTCTGCCTCTAGAATACCTTTGCTAACAAAACAGAGAATGTTCAAAAGGAACTTTTTTCAGAATCTTCAGGTTTGCTGGTTTAGAGAGACTTCAGAGATGGTATTTCTGAAATATAGCCAATGGTGACAGTAGAGACTGTATCGTCAGCTTTCTGATTAGTGCCAGCTTCAGCACATACGTAAGGAATAAGGCCATAGTTGCAGAGAGGTCACCAATCAATACCCTCACATTTCACAGATACAGAAACCACAGACTAAAGAGCTTAAATGGTTTGCCCAAGGTCTAAAAGGAATTATGTAGCAGAGCTGGGATTTGAACTTGGGTCTTCTGACTCCAAATATGGACCTGAGATCAAGGGAAGAAACATAGGTCAAAAGTATATTGAACAGAAGTGTAGAGAGGAAGTCTGATGCCAGAAGGGGTGCTAAACTTGAGATCAGGAGAAACCTGGATTCCTGTCCCATCTCTGACACTTACTTTCAGTGTCTGACCCTCAGTTTCTTCATCTGTAAAATGGAAATAATAATAATACCTGTAGCACTTAGCTTACTGGGTTGTTGAGGGCATCAAATAAGGTAAAGTGTGAAAAGTACTTTGCAAACCTTAAAGCACTTTATAAATGTCAATTATTATTTTCATCATTATTTGAAATGATTCTGGAAGCTCTGGAAATTTAAGTGCTAATTTTAAAAGTTTTTTTTTTTTTAAATATCAGCAAGATAGGCTACCAATAAACATTTGTATTTGAAAGGTAAAAGTAAAATTTGCCCTTTTTAGTTTGCTTTTATTTTTTTCCCCAAAAACAAATACTGTTTTTAAAGTTGAATAAATCCTTGGTTTCTGGCTCCATATTATGAACTCTGGGTCATGGATTTTAGTCATTTCTGTCTTTGTTTCTCTGGTGGATTTATCAAAATATTTCATTTTACATCTTTTGTAGGCTACCAGGCTAAGGAAAATCTCTGAAACATATATAGGTGTCAGACTTTGTAAAGTGCTTTTATGCCCAACCATGTTACATTTTGAAGGTAGCAGTGGTAGTATGTAAAATCAAAAACAGTAGTCTTCCAGACTGCCATATTGGTTAGAAATATTCAACTGTCAGTATCTCAGCTGCATTGTAAAGGTTAATTGGTGAGTGTCAACAAATGTCTCCTAAATATGTCTTATAAAATCTAAGATTAAAATCCTCCTACTCAGAGCTTTATAATACCTTGATGTGGACCTTGGAACATAGTTGGCTAAAGAGTAACTGGGAAGTTAATTTAGGTCCCTAAAGGAGGGGGTTTGGAAGAAAATATGAAGCAATTGTGTGGCAGCCTCACCTTCCCCATAAATCACCCCTTTCCTTTTCAGCCCATTTGTCACAAAGGTAGATGGGGAAGGTGGCTTTGTTGGGCAGAGGTTCAGGCTCTCCTGCCAACCTGCAATTACACCAAAGTGTAATATACTTAGTCCCATTCTGACAATGATTCACCTGCATCATGGTGTGTGAGGTGAGGGGAAAAGGAAGTGGGAGGTAGGATGCAGAGGGTTAAAGAAGGCCACAGATGCTGATGGAACTGCCCCAGAAATGGACTTAGGTCTCTAGTAATGTAGAAATGAGCAATGATTGGACGATTCTGGCTCAGCTTTCTTTAGGGCGCATATAGATTGTATGTGGAAGCCTGTATTAGGCTCTGAATACATCTATATGACTTAGGCCTCAGTTAAATCTGAGTTCACCTTTTGACCACCACTCACCGTCACCCAGATGTAAACTATGTGGAGGCAGATAAAATAGCAGTCTAAGTCTGAGGACTCTAAATTAAGTTTTTTCTAGGAAAGTCTGTTCACTCTGGGAAAAAAACAAAAACACTCCTTTCATAAGCCCCACCCAAGTCAGCACAGTCTTCTGTCGGGGGGAGGCCTTACCTTGGACACCGTGGAGGAGTTTTAGTCAGTGCACATTGTGCTGGGGCCTACTGTGTGCTTTCTTTATATTAACTCCTGCCTGTTTCTAGGTTTAATTTGAAACACTGGCTGCCTTTAGCTTTACACTAGCCTGCATTTGATACTCTGAACCCCACAGCGGTAGCTTGGAGTTTTCTTATTCTTTATCACATTGAAAGTTAACCCAGAGATAGAAAGAAAAGCACCGAGGCCAGAAAAATATAAAATATTGACTGTCTGACTCCCACTAAATGTCATTGGTTACCTTGCCAGTTTAGTGTAGTGCTCACTTGGCCAGTTCAGTATTTAGATTAGGAAGGAATGTACTGATTGCAAATGGAATAAAATGTGGACTAAACATTCATCTGTTAAAAAACATTAATACCATACTTCATTTTAACTTTTGTCCAAGTGCATCTCATTTAAAGATGACATTTATATATTAATATCTTCGCACCTGAGTTGTGACTGTTAGCTCATTAAGGGAAAGTTTCAGTTCATCTTCTAAAAAATGGATTTATTTTGTTTGAAGAACCTCCTAAGTTTTCTAGGGCTCTGTCCTACATAAAGAACTTTCGAGAAAAGCCAAATTAACTTGCTTCCAGAAGACATTATGGTTTTTTGTTTAATTAAAGAACTGCTTGCACAAATGAGAATTGAGCCTTGAAGAATCTACCTAATTAATTAAGTTGTATGAACCCCCAAAGCATAAAAATGTAATTTCTTATCTGATCTAGATAAGTAATCTAGGAAAGGTTGTTAGAGTTCCTAACACTCTTGAATTGGCGTGTAGATAGTTTTGATGTTTAGATGAAGCCTTATATTCATGGAGAGTGTAAACAAACCAAAGACCAAATGTTTTAATTTGTGTTTCAGTTTGTTTCTGCCGTTGGTTACACTTTGTTGATATATTTTCTAAATTACTCACATAATAGAATGGATTGACAGAAAAATGGTGGCCAGTTCTACTTTAAACTTACTGAAAAATCTCCCCACATTTGCTGATTTTTGGTGGTTCTCACTAAAGTAACTTGAATTCTTTAAGCCATTTTATTGGGTCTTCTTCATGCAAGAATATAAGGTGTTTGAGGGATAGATGAATTATTTTTGTGTTGTTACTTTATTTGCTTATTAATTGGTCACTTAAAGAAGTTATCTATTACCTTTTGTCTTGCCCACTAAAGGTGGCAAAGGTTTGATATTAAATGCCATGCTTTAGAAATAATTACTCTTCCTGTCCCTCTTACCTAGTTCAGCCCCTCCCAGAGTAGTGAGGTTAAGACAAATGTGTCCATCTCTGGGCATAAGAGTTTTCTTCTGCAAAGGGAGATAAATTCACACTATTCTGATTCAGTCTCTCTTGTACCACAGAAACAACTATTAGCTTCTGAATAATGTTTCTGCTGTGAAATGTTGTATTTGAAATGGATAACAGTAGACAAGAAGAATGTTTCTAGAATATAGAATTCTATGTAAGGACCATATGATTTAGAGCAGAGAGGCACCTTAGAAGTCATTCAGCATGGTTCCCTCATTTTTCAGATGAGGAAACTGAGGCCCAGAGAGGTTAGCAAAAATCATGCAGTGAATTCACTGTGGCTTGGGACTAGAGTCCTGGTCTCCTGGCATCTGATCCATCTTTCTTCCTGCTATGCCACATTCTCTCCCTAGGAACATAGGACTTCAATCTGGGCCTTAGAGATCAAATCTAGCCCCATCATGATGAGAGAGAGGCCCTTAAAGATGAACTGACATGTCCCAGTTTCCAAAGCTAGTAAGCCACAAACTGGAATTTGAATCCAGGTTAATATCTGATCCCAAATTCAGTACTGTCCTCACTACACCACACCCTAAGAC